CGAGATCTTGGTCGGGTCTTGGCTTCGGATCTTGGTCGGGTCTTGGCTTCGGGATCTTGGTCGGTCTGGCTTCGGGATCTTGGTCGGGTCTTGGCTTCGGGATATCTCGGCTTATGTGGTCGGGTCTTGTCTTCGAGATCTTGGTCGGGTCTTGGTCTTGGTCGGGTCTCGGCTTGGAGATCTCGGGTCTTGGTCGAGATCTTGGTCGGGTCTTGGCTTCGGGATCTTGGTCGGGCTTCGAGATCTTCGTCGGGTCTTGGCTTGGAGATTTGGTCGGGTCTTGGTCTCGAGATCTTGGTCTTCTTGGCTTCGGATTTGGTCGATCTTGGCTTCGGGATCTTTGGTCGGGTCTTGGCTTCGAGATCTGGTCGGGTTCTTGGCTTCGAGATCTTTGGTCGGGTCTCGCTTCGAGATCTTGGTCGGGTCTTGGTTTCGAGATGTTGGTCGGGTCTTGTCTTCGAGATCTTGGTCGAGTCTCGGCTTCGGGATCTTGGTCGGGTCTTGGCTTCGGGATCTTGGTCGAATCTTGGCTTCGGGATCTTGGTCGGGTCTTGGCTTCGAGATCTTGGTCGGGTCTTTGGCTTCGGGATCTTGGTCGGGTCTTGGCTTCGAGATCTTGGTCGGGTCTTCTTCGAGATCTTGGTCGGGGCTTCATATTGGTCGGGTCTTGGCTTCGAGATCTTGGTCGGGTCTTGTCTTCGGATCTTGGTCAGGTCTCATCTTCGGATCTTGGTCGGAGTGTTGGCTTGGAGATCTTGGTCTTGGTCTTGGCTTCGAGATCTTGGTCGGTCTTGGCTTCGGATTTGGCTTCTTGCTTCGAGATCTTGGTCGGGTCTTGGCTTCGAGATCTTGGTCGGGTCTTGTCTTCGAGATCTTGGTCGGGTCTTGGCTTCGAGATCTTGGTCGGGTCTTGGCTTCGGGATCTTGGTCGGTCTTGGCTTCGAGATCTTGGTCGGGTCTTGGCTTCGAGATCTTGGTCGGGTCTTCTTGAGAATCTTTCGAGATCTTGGTCGGGTCTTGGCTTCGAGATCTGGTCGGGTCTTGGCTTCGAGATCTTGGTCGGGTCTTGGCTTCGGGATCTTGGTCGGGTCTTGTCTTCGAGATCTTGGTCGAGTCTCGGCTTGGAGATCTTGGTCGGGTCTTGGCTTCGGGAATTCGGTCGTCGGGTCTTGGCTTTCGGGATCTTGGTCGAGTTTCGGCTTGGAGATCTTGGTCGGGTCTTGGCTTCGGGATCTTGGTCGGGTTCTTGGTTTCGAGATCTTGAGTCGGGTCCTTGCTTCGGGATCTTGGTTCGAGTTCGGCTTCGAGATCTTGGTCGGGTCTTGGCTTTCGGGTCTTGGTCCGGTCTTGGCTTCGGGATCTTGGTAGTCTGGTCTTGGGCTTCGGGATCTTGGTCGAATCTTGGCTTCGAGATCTTGGTCGAGTTTCGGCTTGGAGATCTTGGTCGGGTGTTGGCTTCGAGATCTGGTCGGGGTCTTGTCTTCGGGATCTTGGTCGGGTCTTGGCTTCGGGATATTGGTCGGTCTTGTCTTCGAGGATCTTGGTCGAGTTTCGGCTTGAGATCTTGGTCGGGTGTTGGCTTCGAGATCTTGTCGGGTCTTGTCTTCGGGGATCTTGGTCGGGTTGGCTTCGGGGATTGGTCAGAGGTCTGTTGTCCTTCGAGATCTTGGTCGAGTTTCGGTNGTCTCGGGCTTCGGGATTTGGCCGGGTCTCGCTTCGGGATCTTGGTCGGGTCTTGGCTTCGGGAATCCTTGGTCGGGTCTTGGCTAGGGATCTTGGTCGGGTCTCGCTTCGGGATCTGTGGTCGGGTCCTTGGCTTCGGGATCTTGGTCGGGTCTCGGCTTCGGGATCTTGGGCCGGGTCTCGGTCTTCGACGATCTTGGTCGGGTCTTGGCTTCGGGGATGCTTGGTCGGGTCTTGGCTTCGGGATCATGGTCGGGTCTCGGCTTCGGGATCTTGGTCGGCGTGTTGGCTTCGAGATCTTGGTCGGGTCTTTGGCTTCGAAGATCTTGGTCGGGTCTCGGTTCGTGATCTCTGCTCCGGGTCTGTTTGGCTTCGAGATCATTGGTCGGGGTCTCGGCTTCGAGATCTTGGTCGGGTCTCGGCTTCCAGGGATGCTTGGTCGGTCTTGGCTTCGAGATCTTGGTCGGGTATCGGCTTCGAGATCTGGTCGGGTCTTGGCTTCGAGATCTTGGTCGGGTTCTTGTGCTTCGAGGACTTTGGTCGGTCTTGAATTCGAGAATCTTGGTCGGGTCTTGGCTTGGAGATCTGGTCGGGTCTTGGATTCGAGATCTTTGCGGGTATTGGAATTCCGAGATCTTGGTCGGGTCTCTGGCTTCGAGATCTTGGTCGGGCCTCGGCTTCGAGATCTTGGTCGGGTCTCGCCTTCGGATCTTGGTTCGGGTCTTTGAATTCCGAGATCTTGGTCGGCGTTTGGTGAGATTTTTGAATTCGAGATCTTGGTCGGGTCTCGGCTTCGAGATCTTGGCCGGGTTTGGCTTCGAGAATTCTTGGTCGGGTCTTGGCTTCGGGATCTTGGTCGGGTCTTGGCTTCGGGATCTTGGTCGGGTCTTGGCTTCGGAATCTTGGTCGGGTCTTGGTTCGAGATGCTTGGTCGGGTCTTGGCTTCGAGATCTTGGTCGGGGGTCTCTGTCATTCGCAAGTCTTGGTCGGGTTCTTGGCTTCGAGATTCTTGGTCGGGTCTTGGCTTCGGGATCTTGGTCGAGTCTTGGCTTCGAGATCTTGGTCGGGTCTTAGGCTTCGAGATCTTGGTCGGGTCTTGGCTTCGAGAGATCTTGGTCGGCGTCTTGGCTTCGAGATTCTTGGTCGGGTCTTGGCTTCGAGATATTTGGTCGGGTCTTGGCTTGGAGATCTGTCCGGGTCTTGGCCTTGGAGATCTTTGTGGGTCTTGGCTTGGAGACTTGGTCCGGGTCTGGCTTGGAGATCTTGGTCCGGGTCTTGGCTTCGAGATCTTGGTCGGTCTTGGCTTGGAGATCTTGGTCGGGTCTTGGCTTCGGGATCTTGGTCGGGTTCTTGGCTCGGGATCTTGGTCGGGTCTCGGCTTCGGATCTTGGCGGGTGCTTGGCTTTCGAGATCTTGGTCGGGTCTTGGCTTCGAAAGATTTAGTGGGTCCTTTTGGCTTTCGGGATCTTGGTCGGGTCTTGGCTTCGAGAATCTGGTCGGGTCTTGGCTTCGAGATCTTGGTCGGGTCTTGCTTCGAGATCTGTGGTCCCGGGTGTCTGCTTCGGGATCTTGGTCGGGGTCTTGGCTTCGAGATCCTTGGTCGGTCTTGGCTTCGGGGATCTTGGGTCGGGTCTCGGCTTTCGAGATCTTGGTCGGTCCTTGCTTCGGAGATCTTGGTTCGGGTTTCTTGAATCGAGATCTTGGGTCGGGTCTTGGCTCTCGACGATCCTTGGTCGGGTCTCTGGCTTCGAAGCATCTTGGTCGGGTGTTGGCTTCGGGATTTGGTCGGGTCTTGGCTTCGAGATGTTTGGTCGGGTCTTGGCTTCGAGATGTTGGTCGGGTCTTGGCTTCGCCAGTATGTTGGCTCGGTCTTGGCTTCGGGGATCTTGGTCGGGTCCTTGGCTTCGAAAGGACTTGGTCGGTCTTGGCTTCGGGATCTTGGTCGGGTCTTGGGCTTCTTCGAGATCCTTGGTCGGTCTTGGTCTTTGCAGATCTTGTACGCGTGTTGGCTTCCGAGATTCTGGTCGGTTAGTGATTGGCTTCGGGGATCTTTGGTCGGGTTGTTCGAAGATTACTTGGTTCGTGAGTTCTTGGCTTCGGGATCTTGGTGTACGGAGTTTCCGGCTCTCGAAGATCTATTGGTCAGGTGTCTTGGCTTCGAGCATACATGCTCGGTTCTTGAATCTACGGGTCCATTTGGATCGTGGGTTTTATTACTCTCGTTGTCTTTGTGTCTTCGAGGAGATTCATCTGGTCGGGTCTCTGTCCGCTCTTTTCTTGAGATCTCTTGTCGGGTCATTGGCTTCGGGATTGGTCGGGTCTTGGCTGTCGAGATCTTGGTGGGTTCTTGGCTTCGAGATCTTGGTCGGTGTCTTGGCTTCGAACCGATGTTCTCCTGGTTCTTTCGGGTCTTGTGCTTCTCGGATCTTGGTCGGGTCTCTGGCTTTCTGCGGACTCTTTGGTCGGTCGTCTTTCGCGCTCCTTCCTGGGATCTCTTCTTCCTCCCTCCGTTCGGTTCTCTTTTCTCTCTTTTATCCGTGCCGCCTCTCTTCTCCCCCCCTCCCCCCCTTCCTTGGCTTCGGAGATTTCCTCTTCCCCCCTCTTGGCCGTCTTCACACGGTCTTCTTTCCGCTCCGCCTCCACCTTCTCCTTCTCCCTCTCAGGCTCGACTTCCCACCTTCCTTGCGCCCTCCCCTCTCCCCCCACGGCTCTCTCTCCCCGTCTGGATTCCAGGGATCGCTCTCTCTTGTGTCTCCCACGGCTCCTCCGCTATTGCTCGCATACTCAATCAGGTCAATCCCCCCTCTCTGGTCCAAGGTGCTCTTTCCGGACTTCGAGCACTCTTCCCTTGGTAAGGTCGTTCACTTGGCTTGAGATCTTCTTCTTGCTTGGCTCGGTTCGTTATCTTGCGCTTTTCCCGAGCTCATGTCTGGTCCAGGCGTACCTTTGGCTTCCAGGGATACGCTCTCGGCTTCCTTCGAGCCGGTCATTGGGATCTTGAGAGATCAGCCAGCCTTGGGGTAGCGCGTTCTGGAATTACGAGATCCCTTGGCTCAGGCCGAGCTTCTTGCGCATCTAGGTCCTCTCCGCGTCCACGGCCCGCCCCGTCACCTCTCGGATCTCCCGCGCGATCCCCACCTTTCGTGCGCTCTCTCCTACGGCCGTTCATTGGGCTTAGCGGATCCCCTTCGCCGCCTAGGGCTCTTCTCTGGGTTAGAGAATCCACTTCCGGCTAGCGGCTCATCCTGGCACTTTAGGGATGTGGTAGGCATATTGAGATTTATGGGAATTTTATAGTAGGGTATTGCGCTACTCGC